ATTTGCTGTACATTAAAAGCTTTCTGAATTGAAATGTTTTGTCTAGAGGAGACAATGAAAGTAAATTTGGGAGAGACATTTAACATTCAACATATGTATAACATTTGGCACTGTTCAAAGGGTAAGCCATTGCACAGGGAGGGAAGAGAAAAGAAAGGAGACATAAAGACATGATCCCTTCCTTCAAAGTGTTCTACATGACCAACTGGGGCCTGGTATCATTATTCTTATCTGCATAGTATAGCTTGAACATGCAGTACAAAAAAAAATCTAATTATCATTATTAACAAGGTACCCATTTCTCTCACAAAAAGACAAGCTTCATACGGACAAGGGTTTCTGTCCCTTCAGTTAAGGGATGCTCCCTAAGTGCCTAGAGCACTATATGACAATGAAGGTACTGAATAAATATTTGTTCATTGAAAAGAATGCTGGAGGAGAGAAAAGAGAAAAAGAGGAGGAGGAGAAGAGAAATGCAAGCAGCAGAATTCAAGTAATGTTTTCTACTGAGATGGCATATATGCAAACCTTCTGCTCTCTCTTCATGCTCACTAACAAACACATTTTTGTTTGACTGGTCAGTTACTCAGGCCTAACATGACAGCAGAGAACTAAATATGATTCAGTGACAAAGTTCACTGCATAATTTAAAATCAAGCAATTGCATGTAAGCCCTAGAAAATACGCTAAGAAAAGAAACTTACGGGCCCTTCTATTACCTAGTTCTGAGTTCTTTTGATGTTAAAGAGGGCTTTCAGATGTTGTTCCTTCTTTGTTACCACACATTCCATTAGCTAAGATATGATAGCTACCATTTTTCATATATTAACTAATTTTTAAAACAACTCCAAATCAGTACTGTTATCATTTCACAGAACAGTAAAACTGAAGCCAGAGATTGGAAAGAACAGGACCTCTTCACAGGTCTTTATTCTGCCCACTGTCCCATGTAGCCTCCCTATCCCTTGAAGTTCTTTCTGTGCACTCTCGGATAGAACAGAGTAAACACTTTTAAGTTGTGCACCCTTTTTGTTGTCTCACCTAAAGTCTCACCCCATCTCTGAATAAAAGGATTCACGTTAACAAAAAGATAATAAAATTCGACTGGAAATGTTGTTGAAAACATGTTTAATGCCTTTCAAAAAACAAAAGTCAAAACATCTTTCAACATTCTTAGTATGAGAATCTCTAGTCTCCAATTTATTGTTCTTAAGAAATGGGAGCCTTGTATGTTTACAACTTTTCCTTCCCATCACTTTCCCTCCTGTTGCCCTGGAACACTAATAAAACACAGTACAGGGGAAATAATCAGTGCATTCTTACAAAGTGGGGAATTTTCAGTCCTGAGGAATTTCAGGAGTTGAGTCAGGCCAGTGACCCAAATAAGATGGCTGTTTGGGCCATTTCCTCATGCTGTGAGCATCACTCCTCTGTTCATTGAATACAGAGATTCCAGCGTCCATTTTATCTTTTCACATGCTGAGTATCTTAAAGGTCCAAAACTAAATGCTCCATCATTCAGTCTCTTTCTAAATATCAGCACACTAAAATTTGTTTACCGTAATATCCTTTATTTACATTAATAACTTCAATACCCCACTAGGAAATTTGCCCAAAGCCATGTCAGTTCTTAGTGTTATTTTAAACATTTCAAACCCATCCTTCATTACAATCTTCACACTTTGTCTTAACTCTATGGAACTCCCACCTGCAGGCTTCTGCTTTTCCACTCAGCCTCTGTTCCCAAGTTAATATTCATAAAAGAGGGTTAATCTCAACTAAAAATCACATACAAAATTCTTAATCTGGAATTAAGAATCTCTACAGTGTGTACCATTGATCTTCATCAGCCTGTTCCCTAAATATTACAGCCCTGGCAAATGTGTTGACTCTTCCTTCCTCTACACTTTTTCCCTGACCATGTCTTTATTGGGACTGTTCTATCCCACTCTCCTCTATGTACTAACAATCATGCAAATAGCCATATCCTCAATGTAAGAACAAGTTTGAGGCATATCAATCAATAAACACGTTCTGTCTAGTGCTTTATAAATTGTCCTAGCGCCCACATTATAAGGAAACAGTTAAACAGACTACCCAAAGTCACCAGAAACTAAAATAGTATTTGGGAGTAGGGGTAGAGTTATGATGTGTGTAATATATGCATGTATACACGTGTGCGTATACTTGAAAAGAGAGGGACATAGGGTGTCCTTTATCAGTCTACAAGTCTACACTTTATTTCCCTGAGACAAGGTCTCGTACTCTGGTTTTTGCTAGTCTGATGGCCAGCAAGCCCCAGCCATCTTCCTGTCTCAGACCATCTCCTAAGGCTAGGGTTACAGGTGTGTAGACCACTCTCAGATTTTCACATGTGTGCTGACGTCCTTATGCTTGTGCAGAACATCCCCTTATTCACTGATCCATCTTCTCAGTCTCACCCTGGCTTTTGTTGTTGTTTTCATGAAAGTGACACAGAGAGGCTTTATATAGTCAGTTGCTGTCAAATTGAGAATTCATTTCCATCTACTCCACAAGCTACATGCATGAACTCATGTGTGAAGCCTTAGCTTCTCATCTGTAAGAAAGGTATAATTGGGGGCTGCAGAGCAGGCTCAGCAGTCATGAGCATGGTCTGCTCTTCCAGAGGACCTTGATTCAATTTCCAGCAACCAAACGGGAGCTTCCAATTGTCTAGAACTTCAGCTCCTCCATTCTTCTCAAATCAATCTTTATGCAGTACAAAATCTTCATAAAAGTTTAATTCTATGTTTTATATGTGTTCAATAATTATCAACAGAATACAAGAATTTAAAACCATGTCTACTAATTCTGTTTCTTCCTCTGAGAAACAGCGCTTACGAACTTCCTTCCCCTTTTTATATCACAGGAAACCACCATATGTGGCATCATATAGTAACAAGTAAAACAGCGTAAATCACTATTTTGATTTACTCCTTTTGCTTTCGGCTATACACTATTAATTTCCAATTTTAAAATGTCCAAAGTCATAATTTTTATTTTAAAAGCCAACTTTTTAGTTAAGGCTAACATAAGTATATTTTATCAAGCCAGTTAATACCTATTCGTAATAAAAACTACAAAACATAAAGCGTCTTGCTCAACCCTATAAGCCAACCCCTAGAGTCAAACCCCTACTCTGCCCTCATTTTGCTGAAATTGGGGCCTGAAAGCTGATATAAAAATCTATTAATCTTAGATGTAGAAACATCAAAGGAAATAAGCTGCGTGCTAGCAACAAGCTAGGCTCCTCTGAAATCCTTAAAGAAACGAGGATACATGAGAAGTTAGCCCCCAAAGCCTTCCATATTTAACTTCCCTAACCATGGTTTTCACACATTACTTACACTTCACATCAAAACATCACACTGCCTTACATCAAGTAAGGCAGAGAGGAAAATATAAACAGTCCACTAAGAGAACTGCCATTCCTTATACAGAGACAACTGTGGTTCTACACAAACAACTCAGTAAAGCTTAACTATGTAACAGACAGGCTTTATTTCATTTAACCTTCAGGTTTCTTTTTTCCATTTTTTAACTTTTTTACTTATTGTGTGTGTATGGCTTGGTAGGTAAGGCACATACCACAAGGTTCACGTGGAGTGAGTTCTCCACTTGCACATCTACATGGATACTGGAAATCTAATCCAGGCCATTATGGGTGCACAGCAAGTTCTATTGCTCACTGAACCATCTCACCAGCCCTTTCCGTATTTCATACATAACACTAAAGAGTTAAGTCTAGTCTGACTACCAAATTTGAAACTCCAGTCTTTTGAAACATTTGTTTTTCCTGAATCTGCAATGACACATTTTACACCTTCCTCTTGACCCACATTAAAAAAAAAAAAAAGTAACTGAAACCAATTAATGAATCCTTGTAGTCCCGTATATTCAACTCCTGTTTAACTACCACAGTCCAGCTGTATTCCTCTAAAATGGAGTTAGTTTTTTGAGCCATTAAAAACTATCTTTAAACAAGGCTTGACGGCCCTGCAATTCCAGTACTGGGTAGGCTGAGGCAGAAGAATGGCAAGTTTGAGGTCAGTCGGGGCTACACAGAGGGACCCTGTCTCAAATATATAAATAATGACCTTCTGAACTATTAACTCGAAAAAGCTCTTCCCTAAACCTTTAAATGACCTGTTTCTACCGGCTCTTTGGAGGCACGGCCACTTTACTGTATTGTATCAGAAAGTGCAGCTGTCTTCCCGTCACTGCTAGAAGGAATGCAGTTTCCACCGTAACTGCTGCATCACTGGCAGCAGCAAACAGTAACACCCAGGCAGGTTTGGGGCAGACATCAGCCCCTAGCAGCTGCCCACGGTGCTGAAACTGAGGATAAAATGGGAATTATGGAAATTAACTACTGCCAGATTAGAACAAAAACAGGGCAATTTACCATAAGCAAGCAGAGAACATGCAGCAGAAGCTACCAAAGTTGTTTCCCTCTTAAGTACAGGTCAATTCAACAAGCGAACTCACAGAAGTTCGGACTTTCAACATCGGTTAAAACAAACAAAATGCAAAACAAAACCAATAAAAAGGCGGTGTGCAGCCCTAGCAAGGTCACATCCAAGCCTGCAAGCTGAGCTTTTAGGAAAGGAAAGGGGAGTGGGTGAGAAAGGAAGGTAGCGAGCGATAGCATTTTTTCTTTTTTTTTTTTCAAAGACAAAACAGCCACAACCGAATTTTCGCCGAGGACTTAGAGAAGTGTTAGACTAAGAGAAGTCTTCTAAGTACCCCTCCAGGCCACAGGCACCTCTGAAATGGAACTTGGGAAGCAAAATCCATAACCCGACAACTTCAGACCTACAAGCCCACAGGATGGGGTGCTAAGGACCAGTCTCCAGTACGGGCCTAGGCTGTCACTGCACCGAGCCGAGGGGCCGCCGCACCCAGGCCGGAGGGGGTGTGTTCTCCCGGCCAGGCCCGACAACCCCCGCCTACCGCTGCGGAGCCACTCCGGTTCTTACCTGAAGTCCGGCCCGGGACCCCAGGCTCGCGGCCACCCAGGAGAAGTCGCTACCCGGACTTCATGACTGAGTATCCGCACTGAGCCGCTGCCCAAGCAAGTCGGAGAAGAGACGGCAACAGCGGGCGGGCGGAAGTCCCGCCTCCCGCTCCTCATTAGTCTACGCTTGGAGGTAGAGAGACACTATTGGTCCGTAACGTTGCCCGTCAAGGTCCCGCCCCTCTCGCAGAGTTGCACCGCCTGCTTCGGCTAGGCTGGGAAAAGTGCCCAGTAGTTGAGTGTCATTCTGAGCCTCGTGATCCATCATCCCTACTAGGGAATTGATGAGGAGGGAGGAGCGACTTTTGGAAGCCCTGGGTGCGGTGGAGAAGCCACCCTGCACTGCCCCGGGCTGGTGGGCGGAGGATTGGCTCGCGGGGCGCGAGGCCCCAGCGAAGGTTGTGTGTCTGAGTGGCCCGCGCCTCTTCGCAGCTCCCACCCCGGCCCGAGGAGCCGCCGAGTGCCTTGCGCCCCTCCAGCGAGCAGGCCTGCGAAGGCGGGGAACGCTGGGCGACGCCTCGCGCTGGAATCCAGGTCGGGTTAGAGCGAGCTGCCCCAGGTCAGAGCGTGAACCCCGAGGCCTGGCAGGGAGCCACGCAAAAGTCCAAAGCACGTGATTCAGTCCTCAAAAGAGCCTTTTAAAAACCTTGTCACTCTCTGAGGAACTAAACTCATCCCCCTGGCTTCTCCTTATACCTTTTCTCTCCTAGTCTGACTCTTTAAGAACTTGGATTTAAATGACGTATTGGGCAATAGCCCTGAACAGCTACTAAACTACTGCTGCTTGTTTTTAATGCGGTTTAATGCAAAGATTGCAAGATACTGACATACCCTACTGGTCCTGCTGTAGCTTGAAATAATAAAGCGTCTTGGAATGATGCCCATTCTGGCATCAAATCCTTTAACATGGGTGTTAGGGAAGAGGAGTTATAAAAAGCAATATCGGTAGTTTATAGCCTCCTTTGCTTCAAGAGGCCTAAGTAAGTGGGGAACAGGAATAAAAAGATGTCCTGCTCTTTCTCCTTGTTCCCTTTTAATTAGAACCTACTGTAAGTAACACAAGCAATTGAAAAAGCAAGTCTAACGCGTTGACGACTTAATTCAGTGGCAGAGAACTTGCTCAGCAAGCAGTAGGCTCTAGGTTACAAAAAGAGAACAAAAAAGAATCCAATTTGAAAATTTAATTCATCAAAAACATTTTTACCTGGTAGCCCACAGTTATACAGTCAATGTATTTCATTTATTGAGAAGACATTTACTACTTCATAGTTCTGCTGTGACAGAAGTCATAAATATCAGGTTTGGGAATATTGCTATAAGGGCTAGAGTAACTACTATAGATAGACTTGCCATACCTTTAAGTGCATTTTTTATTATATTCTCTCAAAATGATTTTCTATATTAAATCAGATTTCTTACGTGATATAAAAGCTTTTTTTAAAAAAAAAAACAGCACACATGAAAACCAATTGTTAATTCCTTAGACTCTTAAGAGAACATTTCGCTTCTGTTTTCAGTCTGCTCTGTAGACCACGGTAAATATGTGGTTCTCTCAGTAATAAGCATGGTAATGAATTTGTGTTGCAAATGCTATAGTTTATAAATATATACCCCCTTGTATTGAATGAAGGCAAATTAGAAGACAGATTGGAAAATTGTGGTTTTTCAAGAATATAAAAAGTTTAATAGAGTACGTGACGATTTAAAACAAAACACTAATTATCTCCTCCTAAAAATAAATCATCTGGGTAAAGTGGGATAGGCCTAAATTCCCAGTCCTCAGTAGGATCAGAAGTTAAATGGCCTCTTGAGCTTTATAGCAAGTTCAAAGCCAGACTAGGTAACGTAAGACTGTCTTATTTACTGTGTCAAAACATCATGACCAAGGCAACTTATGAAAGAGTGTATTTGACCGGGCTTTCGGTTTCAGAGGGTGTATTAGCCACAGTTCTCTAAAGTAACAACTTATAGAATTTATCTCTATATATAAGGGGAGGGGGGGCTATTAGAATGACGGAAAAGCTGCTGTCTAGGTAATCCAATAATGGCTGGCTATGAACAGAATGTCCAAGAATCCAGTCATCTCAGCTGGGCTTCAGTATATGTTGGAATCCCAAGGAAGTAGGCTCTAATGCCAGTGAAGGAATGGACTTTCTAGCAAGGCGAGAGCAAATAGACAAAGAGCAAAAACTTCCTTCTTCTATGTCCTCATATAGGCTTCCAGCAGAAGATCAGATTATAGGAGAGTCTTCTCACCTCAAAATATCTGGATTATAGGTGTGTTTTCCCAAATAAAAGCTGGATTAAAGGCAAGTCTTCCTATCTCAAAATTCTAAATTAGAAGTGGATCTTCATACTTCAAATTCAGCAAAAATCCCTCACAAGTGTGTCCTCCATTTTGAGGTTTTAGTTCATTTCAGATGTAGTCAAGTTGACAACCAAAAATAGCCATCAGATAAGCCTTTTATTGTAATTTATATTTAATTTTACTTTGAGACATGGTCTCTGTGTGGTTTGAATCAGAACGACCTCTGTAGGATCACATGGTTGAATACTCAGGCGTAGATAGATAGATAGATAGATAGATAGATAGATAGATAGATGATAGATAGATAGATAGATAGATAGATAGATAGATAGATAGGCAGACAAATTCACTTTATAAACTCTGGAGAACCCTGACTAATACACAGCATATAAAAGTGACATATGCTGGTAATTCCACCAAGTGGCAACTAAGCAAATGGAGCACTACCTGACCTATGAGGTAAGATTTTACTTCAAGAAAAAATTTAAAATAAAAATAAAAAGAAGTGAGATTTCCAAGCTTGGTGGCTGTCAGTTCTTGTTCTTCCTTTAAAAAAAAAAACAAAGGGCATCTATGGCAACCCCTATCCACACCCCTATCACAACCTCCACCCCAAAAATGTAACAGCCTAAAAAGAAAGCCAGCAAAGAAAATCCATACTCGTGATTGGGCTGCTGGGGTGTAGCTCTCCACAGCTGATGACATCTAGAGGGGGTTCGTGGAGAAGGACTCAGTTCTTTCTAGGAAGCGGGGCACTGGGAGTTTGACCATCTCCAGTGAGTATACAGACAACACAGGTTGGCCTTGAGGTTTTCTTTCTCTCTCTCTCTCTCTCTCTCTCTCTCTCTCTCTCTCTTTTGGAAGGTGGGGGTGGAGAAGTCATAAGAGTGGGGAGCAGACATGGGAAGACTGGGAAGTGAGTATGATTGGGATACATGCTGTGAAATTCCCAAATAATAAGTAAAAATATTATGATAAAAATTAAATCAAAAGAAAAGAAAAGAAAACAAGCTGAGAAGCCCTGAGGAGCAATCCAGTACTCAACGCTCTATCATGACCTGTGCATCAGTTCTTACCTCCAGATTTCTCCCTTGAACTACTCGCCATCTTTCTTCTATGATGGGACTATGATGTGGAAGTGTAAGCACAATAAAGGCTTTCCTCCCTAAGCTGGTTTTGGTACGGTGTTTTATCACAATGGAAACCCTAACTAAGACACCTCCCTAAATACAAGATAATATTGTAGTCATTTTTTAAAAGATAAAAGACAGAAGTTAATAAATGGAAAGAAAAGGATAGAATACTTCTAAAGAAATGACAACTTGTTTCTCAATAACAACAAAACAAACCAGAGTTTAGTACAGCATCTGCTAATACTACCAAGTAATTGCACTCTGAATTAACCATTTGAAAGTAACAGTAAAATAGACTTTTTTAGGCGGGGGGAGGTGCCAGCATTTTTCACTAACTGACTTCTGCTTAAAAAGAACTTTCAAGGATATCTTCAGTAAGATGAAAACCTCAGGGGGCAAAAGAGAGTGTGTATGCTTCAGTGGTGACATGGGTAGCATTGGAAAAGCATAGCGGATAGAAATATTAAGTACAATTTCTGCACCAGTAGACATAAAAAAATGGAGTAAAGAAGTTAAGCATGGTGGCACATGCCTACAATACTAACACTAAAGATGTTGAAGTGGGAGGATTGCCAGAATTTGAGGCCAGCCTAGGCCATATAACTTGTCTCAGAAATACCACAAAAAGAAAAGGGAATAAAAGAAACATCATTACTGAAAAGCAGGGAAAGACTGATGCAAAAGAAGCAAATAAAATGTACTACAGACACCAAATTCAAAATTAATTGGCAGGGCATCACCATCAAAATGGCTGAACGGAATTGTGGTGATTGGAACGGGAATAGACCCCATACAGTCATATATTTGAGTGCTTGGTCCTCAGTTGATGAGCTGTTTGGAAAAGATTAGAAAGTGCAGCCTTGTTGGAGGAAGTGTGTGACTAGAAGTTTGCTTTGAGTTGAACATCCCATGCCATGCCCAGTCTCTCCTTCTCTCTGCCTCCCTTCCTGTAGATCAGGATATAAAGCTCTCAGCTACTGCTCCAGTGCCCATGCTACTGCCTTGCTACTGCCATGATCCCCTCCACAATAATGGACTAACCCTCTGAAACTGTAAGCATGCCTCTAATTAAATGTTTTATTTTATAAGAGTTACCTTGGACATAGTGTTCACAGTAATAGAACAGTAAGAGAGGGATGTTCCTTCTGTCATCCCCCTGCACCCTTAAAAGCCCAAGGACAAACAATGCAAAAGAGTAGGAACAGTTTCCCCATGTATGACACAGCTCCATTTTGATACTCCTTAGGTCTGTGATTTCTCACACAGAAAACAGCAAGAACTTAATGTGCATTTGGGACATTCCTCAAGAAGCCCATAGGGCAGAAAACAACAAATGGCAATAGAAAACACCTAACTACTGTGGATGGAATTGACTCAATTCTTCAATCAAGAGTTATAGAATAGATGACTTAGCAGTTAAAAGTGCATGCTGCTCTGATAATGCCAGTTGAGTTCCCAGCTGCTTGGCAGCTCATGCCTGCCTGTAACTACAGCTCAAGGGGAATCCCATGCATCTGGCCACTAGGGCATCTGAACTAATGTGCACATGCTGACACATAGACACATAATTTAAAAACAAAATAAATCTTTTTAAAAAGAAAGATATCAATTGTTTGAAAGATGAGAAGAGTCAGCTAATAATGCCTACAAGAGACT